GAGAAGAACCACATTGAATTACTGTGAAACTAAATAATATACGAAATGAAATCGAAAAACTCAAACAGAAACTCAAATGTATGGTCAATGACAAAGATTATGTAATTATTGTTGAAACTTCCGTAAAAGCTAAAGAATCAGCATTAAGAAAATCAAATACCACACAAATCAAAAAATTCAACGAACTAATTGAAGAAAAGAACACAGCAAATAAAACTGATGTCACCGCTTCATCCTCTATGAAAGAACAAAGTAGGTGATCAACCTATCACCAAGGGAACTAAGCTCTAGTGAGATCAAAGTACTTGAGAAAGGAGTAAATTTCAAAGTAACAGTTAATAAATTATTTTGTGGTTGTGTTCTCTGAGCTGGATGGTTTGGTTGCGAAGCTTTCATTGCTCTACTGAGCAACATCTTCAGCGCATACTTCGATGTGAAGTGAGCTTTTAGAATTCTCTATGAGTTTATTAGTCATCTCTTCTAGTAACCTTGAACGTGATTGGTTGTTTTCGTGTGACATTTCACCCCCTAGTTTGCTTGTCTCGGTGCTGGCTGCTTCTTTGGTCTGAATGTCGTTAGTCATTCCTTCTGCTAACCTTGAACGTGATTGGTTGTTTTTGTGTGACTTCTCACTTTCTAGTTCACTTGTTTTGGTGTTGACTGTTTCCTTGACCTGAAGTTTGACTTTGTTTTTGTGTGAATTTCTTCGTATGGATTGGTATATTTTGTCAATCTCTATGTGTCTATTGATTGCTGATTCATTTGAATACCAGGCCTCTAGGAATTCTCTGGCATTTTTGCAGTTCCCTTTGTCTAAGATTTGAACATTGTCCCAGTCGAATTGGTGCCCGTGGTTGTCTGCATGTAGTGATATGAGGGAGTGTATGTCGTGTCTTTTGACAGCTAGTTTGTGTTCGTGAATGCGAAGACGAAGAGGGCGTCCACTTTGACCAATGTAATGTTTGTCGCAGTCGTTGCAACTTATCTTGTAGATGACGTTAGTTTTGTCTTCTTTTGCCGTTAAGTCCTTTGGTTTACATAGAACTGAGTGTAGTGACTTCGTTGGTTTATGAGCGACATCGATTCCAAAAGGTTTGAATAGTCTTGCAGTGATTTCGGAGATATCTTTTATATATATGGTAGGACGACTTTCTTTGTGTTTTCGCTGGTGGCCTTTGATTTGGTTGGTTGAACTGGGGGTAGATGTCTTTCGATGAAGTTTCGTGGGTATCCATTTCTTTGGAAGACGTCCATAAGATGATTTTCTTCAATTTTCCTCAAGGTGGGAGTGCTGCAATGAGTCCTGGCTCTCTTGAACAACGTACGTATGCAGCTAATTTTGTGTGATGTTGGATTGTTACTGTTGTAATTGTGTATTTGATCCGTGTGCGTTGGTTTTCTGTATACTTGGGTTTCTAATTTTCCTGTAGTTGTTCGTTTGATTAAGGCGTCTAAAAATGGGATGCCCTATCAGAAATCATTCAAACTCTAGATTGACTAATTCATATGAGATGAAAAGTAAACTAAATGACATTCAACTAGCGAATGACGAAACAGTGGTAAGTTTTGATATAACTAGTCTTACCGTCGCCTGAGGGGGATTTAATTACTGCCTACAAAATAACAAATGATCAGAATCACCCAAACAAAGGTGTTCTGCCATTGAGTAGGTATAGGCTTCCTCGTGGAAATCCTAGAAGGATAGCTCATCAGAGGGCAAAGACCCGAGTGCGCTCCCACTTCTTTTCCCTGCGGGTTTGCCGCCCCTGGAATTCCTTACCGGCAGATGTAGCTATGGCACCATCTGTGGACGCCTTTAAGCGAAGGCTGGACAACCATGCAGCGACACAAGAACTTCATCCAAATGGCCTATCCCCTTAAAATCGCATATACCATTCAAAGGTAGACAATTAAACTGGTCGTTTTACTTCTTCACATTCCCTTCAGTCTTACTCTCCTGACAGCTTTAACTACACCTATTATTATTATTACTATTATCATTATCATTATTACTGGTATATATATATACCGGTTGACTGACTGTTGTTACGTTTTCTTATTCTTTCTCTGTCCGTTAGTCTGAATACCTTTACTAATTATATCTATTATTATTATTATCTCTTTTCCATTGACGACGATACCGAAAGACTAACTGGTGAAAGGATCAACTCCATTCACAGTAGTAACAGTCTTAACACACTTCATACTACAAACCCCATATAATTAACCCCAGCACTACTCCTGTTGGAGTCAACCAAAGCTACGACAGTCGAGTGGCGGGACGAGCTACACAGACGTTTACCAAAGATCAGGAACCTCTACCTCACAATCAAGAGGCGAGCACAAAGAAATCAAATTGGTTTATACTAGCTCGTAAAGCCGATATTGGATATTGGATACACTAATATACCAGTCAATATGGCCTTAGAAGCGGTTAAAAGAGAACTGACTTCTGATTCCGAACTTAGTCATAGGACGAAGCTGCCCACTGAAGAAATTATTTTAGGGATTCAGTTACGCCTCACATCTACTATCTTCAAGTTCCAAGGCAAAATATATAGACAAACAGAAGGTGTAGCAATGGGATCACCAATATCCCCTATTGTAGCAGACATTTTTATGGGCAGCTGGGAAAATAGTGCTCTCAATACAATTAATCCTAGGCCAAAATATGGTGGAGATATGTGGATGGCACATTCCCAGTGTTAAAAACAGAACATATCTCTAGCTTCTTGACACATATAAACTCACAAGTAGAAAGAATAGAATTCACATTTGAATTAGAAAATGAACAAGGAGAATTAACCATGTTAGATTGTAAGATAAAACGAATAGAAGAAGGCAAACTACACACTAGTGTTTATAGAAAACCAACGCATTCTAATAGATATTTAGATCATGGTTCTTCAGAATGAGGTAATTTTGTTACCTCTTCCAGTGGGTAAATTGGTAAAGGTAACAAGTCACATGCATGCTGTTCAATTTGGTGGGTGTATGACATCATCAAAACAGTAGTCGGTTACGCAGCGAAAAATATGTCATATATGACGGGATTTGGGCGCTTCGTGAGGGGGAGGGGTTGAAACCAGGTTAAATTCCCCCTAGTCCATCGTTTCTACTAAGACAGTTTGGATTCTGTTTAACGTAAAGTGTTCCCGATTTGTAATATTCTTTTTGATTTCTGAAATCTTCCTGGATGATTTCATTATTACATAAACCGATTTGCTGGTTATATCCCATGGCGTGTAGACCTATGGCTCATTGTTTATCAAGCTTCTCTTGTTCCAGTGGACGTTTTTGTGGTCAAATATTGACTCTACGGTGTTCATTTTTCTGACCTTGTTTTTTCTCAAAATTTGTCCGATGTATATCACATCACATCCCGGACACAGTTCGACTGTAAATCCTCCGGGATCCGGTCTTTCACACGAATACGCTTTCCTTATGGTGTGTTAGCTAATTGGATGAAAACTTCAATGTTGTGCTCGCCAAATACTCTTACAATGTCGCCTGTAAAGGATGACAGCTCTTGGGGTCTTGGAACACGTTTCTGGCTGTTTGATGTCGGTGCTGATTTCGGCTATGAAATTCTTTGGATGGTTAATTTTCTCCAGGGTTTCTATGATATTTGATATTTCCTCTGCTTCTTTTCTATCTCTTATCATAAAGTGTGGTCGTCTAAGCTCACCTGAGACAATCGATACCTTTGCGCAAATAAGGTGTGTTTATTCGAAGTTTTGAGTGAACATCGGTTTAGTGGAACCGCTTCTCATTATTGTGGTGTTTGACTAGACTACCGAAGATCTACCTTGCATTATGTTTATTCGTATATTAGCTATTATTCTTAAGTCTAGGACCTATTTTTCGCAGAAGTCCTGCATAGCTTTCGTGTGTGACAATGAAAAAACTTCAATAGGCCTTCGGTGAATTTCCAACTCCTACGTCATCCAATCTTCAAGCACCTAAGGCTGTCATTAAAATCCTGCTCAAAGGCATAGTGCCATGTGATTTTCGAAGACGCAGTATGAAAACCGCGAAAGTCGGCTTTCACAAGGCGCTCAACTTGTGGATCTTTTGTTCGTTGAGTAGGCAGTGGCACCCATGTTCACCCACAGAGCATTAGGTAAACGACACTGATTGGGGATGTTGTGTTAACTACACAGCCTAACAGAAAAACCCATTTCAGACAGGAACATTTCCAATGGTTTTTATGCTATCAGATAAGGAATGCTGACACCATGACGGCTTGATAAATCATTTCCCAGTAGCCTCAACCAGTTCGAGCTGTAAGGTTCTGTTCAAAGGTCACTCGGCATTCAGGACGCACTACGTACTACTCAAAGATTTACGGAGGATTTTCTGAAAGGGCAACCATTGAACGAAGCTCACACAAGTGACATTTTAATAGAGAGCCTAGAGACTGGCAGTATAAGGGAAATCAGAAGGAAACGACAAGCAGTCAATCAAAGCAAACTTATCTTCAGATCTGGAACTCAGTAGATATCCTTAAATACGCTGATGTGCCAAATGACAGCACGGAATACGAGGCACAAAGTTTCTAGAAACTAGCAAACTGGGAATCAAGTAGTCGTGTGGATCAAATCGCTGAATGATGAAAAATGAGTAAATTTGATTATTAATACATGGAAACATGTTCACTGTTGCTCATTCAAAAGGAAATTCCTGACATCTTACCAGCATTTATCCAGAAGAAGAAGGACGGCATCAGTATTTTATGCAGTCTGAGACTAGCAGTATGTCACAAACAAAGATGTTAAAGATAGTTTATAGTCAGTATATCAGTTTTTTGGTCTGACTACTTCACCAAGAAACGTATCACTTATATGAAGTTAAATGGTAGAAAACTGTTGTTACTGAGAATTTCGAAAAAACAATACTGACTCATTTCGATCTGTTAATTTCCTGCAGTGATTCTGATTCTTTGAAAATTTTTGTTTTTTTGCAAACTAATGTTTTGTTTATATCTGCTGCGAAATTCGATGCGCTCAGTTGGGTCGTGCTTCAGCGCCGCTTACAAACATTACGTTACCATGTCCTATCCGAATTCTAATGTAGGTCGTAAACGTAGTCGACCTGAAGATTGGAGTGAAGCTGGTCCTTCGCCAGTTATCCATATTCGTGGACTACCAAGAAATAGCGTTGAATATGATATTGTTAAGGCATTCGAGTCACATGGGCGCATACGAGATGTAACAATGATTCCCCAGAAAAACCAGGCTTTAGTGGAATTTGAAAACCAGGCCTCTGCAGAAGAACTGATCGATAAGTAAGTCTGTCCATATTGGTAATATGTACGTGCGATGCTGTGAAGACTGGCCATGCCCTTTTGTAGAATTCTTTTTAACACAAGTGAAATGCTTAAGCGTATTTCAAGAAATCGGGAGACTCCGAATGTTCATTATCTGCTCAATGACTTCCTTGAAATTCAGATTCTGACTAAATGCATTAGGAAATGATTTATGGTTTGCCATGCGGATTTTTAAGTTTTTGTTGAATAATAGGAGCAGTTCATGTTACTTATCTACCTATTGTTAAATTTTATAGAAATCTTGTTCTACGAAATTAAGTAACTGTCATGCTTATTGTATCATTACGATTTTTCGACAGGAAATCCATGGGAAGATTATACTAATCATGTTTCATATATTGCTCTAGACACGGCTGTTTTTCAGTTAGAATTATACGAAAGCAGTTTTAAGGAGAACTAAACCAAGGTGCATCGGAGAATTGTTATTTCTCATTTTGACGTATCTCTTACATACTGACGTTTCACTTGCTAGGGGTCGTCGGAAGCAGATCTGAAAACATGGTTAAGTGCCCCGTTACCCCGGTTTCAGTAAGTCGTTACGTACTTGTTAGCTCACTGACATGTTTTAGTCCTTGCAATTGACTGTCGCAACCCGGCTTTAAGGATATCGTCAGGGAGTAAGCAAGCGGTTGGTAGTCGCCAACTGACAACCTAGTGTGGCAAGTTGGTTTCAAGTTTCAAACGCCACTGAGTTTTTTTTCAAAATAGTTGGGGGGGGGGTGAGATATGTCTCTCAAGCCAGAGTTCCTTAGCAGAAAAAAGTTCATCTATTCCTCAGATAATACCTTATTACTGATTGGAAATGTCTGCTTCATTGGTGTCCTTGGTTTCACGAGGTCACATGACATCTGTAGGCAGTAGCAACTCCACGTTCTGTCTTAGTGTAATCCTAATTTATCTGACATTTTACTTCAGTGGGGACAGTGTCTCAGCATTCATCCAAATCATAGCCTTCTTTTCTATGGAGTTCCACACTATCCATCAGCATTAATTCCCTAACTAGTGGCTTACACGTCAACTCATTTTTACTGACTGCATCGCTTCACATAATACGATAAATCGAACGCGGACTTCTGTGGGCAAAAACCGCAGATGTTTTCATGTGTGCAACTTCCTACGACTGTCTTAGCTGTGGAGTGGAAGGCCTAACATGTCTAGTCTTCCTTAACGACAGTGGTTAGAATTGCTGCTAACATACAGCTAAAAATTGCTGAAGGTGGTGTAAGGAGTTCTCGGTGGCCTCGGAAAGTGATAAAGGACGAAAGTTATTCTGAGTAGAAGTCCTCGCAATGACTACGATTAGTGGAAATAAAAAAGCCACCAGCACCGAGTAATACACATCAATTATTTGGAGTCAAACGGGAAACTAGTACTAAAAAAGTTACAGCAAGTGTAGGTTTCTAAAGAAAGTCTGGAAATGAATGCATTTCCTATAAACATTGGTGACGGTACTTCGTGGAGTAGTTCCAGGGGCCTTCAGTAGCACTTCAACAATGTGAGTTTATTTGGTCATTAATATGGTACCGACATTACTGGTATAATGTGTAAGGTTGAACATATTTTAAATTTCAGGTGTGCAACCGAAAGAATGAACCCTATATCAGACTCCTCATCTTCGTTGGTTATGCTTTCGGAATTATGTTTTATGAGTGTTCTCGGCTTCAAATCTCGTCCGACTAGGTAGCATTATTAACGTTCTCATAGGTTCTGTTTTTTTGCAGTAATTGGGCTGCATATTAAAGACTAAATTTGCATATATATATATATATATATTGTGCGGTGTCCTTGCAGCAGTAAACGATAGTATTAGGTTTTAGCTGTTGGTTGAATTTGCAGTGTTTCATCATCACACCTCGGTAGTCGACAATGCACTTTTTGAAACATACGTAGTATTTTGACACTTGGATTAGTTTCCATTTGCTGTAGAACAATTCTTAGTACGCGTTTTAAACCATAATATCGGGATAGCTGAAACTCCCGTACCGTATGAGGCTTAATAACATCTGAATGCCTAAGTAGTTTTAGCTGAGTTCCAACTCACGATTAACTGACTGAAAACCAAATGTATAGTTGAGTGACTCTCAATCCCGCAGTTGGCGTGTTACAAACCGTAATTGTTTAACCTGCATGCTTTTCTTACACGATGCATTTTTCTGAGCTCATATAAACCTGAGTGAAGCTAATGTTTTTAAACGTTCTCGCATTTCGGAACTTACAAACTCAGTTTTGTTCGTCAAGATTCAAACTGAATAGAAAGTTCAACTAATTTTTAAGAATCGTACCTATTTAAGCATGTACGATACTCCCATATCATTAATTGAAAAAGAATTTATTGAGAAAAATATTCTTCGTTCAAATTGACTTTTACTTATTTGCAACGTCGTATATCTTTAAGAATAGCATATTTTTAGCGTAATATTTTTCTGAATTGATTGTGTTTAGAAAGTGCGAAATACATGTTCTCAATAGTCTGGTTCAAGTAGCTTTCAGTACTTCCAAACACATAGTTCAGCGTGCTGCAAACAGAGCTCCACCAGATGAAAAAAACTCACTTTCTTCAGATAATCATATCCTTCTGTTCACGATTTTTAACGCCGAACGTCCTGTAACTGTCGAAACAATTCATCGCATAACATCCTGTCATGGTCGTGTTCTTCGGATAGTAATCTTTCGCAAATCTCAGGTGCAAGTAAGTCTTAATTTGAAGGTTATCTTTTATTTTAGGCTATGGTGGAATTTGGTAGCATACCAGAGGCACGCAATGCAAAACTTCATTTGAATGGTGCAGATATATATCCAGGGTGTTGTACATTAAAGGTAGACTATGCTCGCCCGACCAGACTATCAATATCTAGAAACGACCAAGACAACTGGGATTTCGAAATTTGTGAATCACAGGCAAATTACTATCAGCAAGATTCCCAGTATAATAACTCGCTTCTAGGTAAGCTATTGAGGGTTTGTGATTTTCCTCTATAGGTTTCTCGGATATGCCGTACAATAACTATGATGGCTATGGCCAGCCTTCATATGAAAATCGAAATGATTATATGCAACCTTATATTATGCCATACAGAGAACCATCTATTCCATCGCATAACATGTCCCATCCGGTTGAAGATAATAGAAGTCGAAATCTTAATTGTACTCGAGTTGTTATGCTGTACAACATTGACATGCAGAAAATGAACTGTGACCGGTTAGTTTGTTTCCCGTAAAATTCACCATTTTTATTGATTCAGTTTCATGAACATGTTTATTAGGTTTGACTACCTGTACTCTTTATAAGCCTTTGGAATGGTCCATTAATTGGAATATGACTGACCATTATATATCAAATATTGCTTCATAGAAAGTTGATGAAAAACCTTAAAGGATTGTGATTGTTTTTTTTGGTGTTAAGCATTTGCCCTCTTGCTTACCAACTTCACTGATGTGAAAGTCAGGTATTCCGGTTAAAGTCTGAGTGTGTTTACCTGGGGATTGGGTACTGAAGTCTGTTCAGACTTCAGTTTGGCTTTTGTCATCCACCTTATCCTTTTCCAACATGATGAAATGTACTGAAAAATTGTTTTCTAAAAGGTTCGAAAAAATTATCCAGAATTTACTCTCAATGTTTCAGTGTTTCTATTCATATATCTGTCTAGTAACAAGGATATACGATTGTTTTCAAACGTGTTCGAAAATACGTAGTGAATTTGTTGCTTTAATTAATGATTTTTGAAGTTTTATTCAGCAGTGTGAATGATTCCATGTTTGTTCTGGCTTCCAATGATAGTCTTTCAGACACTAGTTTGACCTTTAAAGTCTCCCCATACCTATGACAGGATTCGTAATGGTTACATTCGCAAGACTGCTCACTAAGCTTTTGGTAACATTTTATTGTTTAAATAGTTTACTTTGTTGTCATGACGAAATGTTGATTACAGTTTATGCATGTGAAATGTATCATTCATGATCATGTAGCTTACTACGGGCAAAATAACCAAAGGTCATGTATTTGAAGAGGTATACTACAACAGTATCTGCTTGTATTCTTTTTTAAATCAAATATACATAATTTGTCTTCTCTTTATATTTACTCATTGGTTGAAGGATACGAAGAAGTAAATTAGATAATTGTATTTGTTCGGAACTCATGTTAGAAATACTCAACCACAAGTGAAACTTTTGATTACTGATTTCATGAAGTATGATATGCGCAGGTTATTTTACTTCCACTAAAAGATTAAAATAAATTGTTTAGGTGCACCTACTAAACGGCAAGACAGCTAGAGATGTGGAATATTCTCTGTTATTCAGAATGAATGTGAACGGTTTTGTGCTTTTTGTTATGCTTTGATTTGTTTGTTTTTTCCATTACAGTATATTCAATCTCTTATGTCTTTATGGTAACGTTAACCGCGTTAAATTTCTACGTAGTAAAGAAGGTTCAGCCATGGTTGAAATGGCTGATACTGATGCTGCTCTTTGCGTTATCAGAAACTTTTCAGGCGTTTCCCTTATGGGTAACCAACTGATGGTAAGTTCTCAGTATAACGTTGCGTCACACATTCTTGATTAATTGTCTCTCTTGTATTATTTTTTTTCACATATTGTATTCATCAGAGGTATGCAACATTTTTTTTCATACTTTACAGTAGCAAAGTTCACTGGTGATTTTTAGTAGTAGTAGTAATAGTAGATCAGTGACATGAAATTGTCTCATTTATCATCAACCATAAATTTGTGTGCAACCTAATTCTTTAATGAGAATTGTTCCTAGAATATATTTTACAAGCAAATTAGATCTAATAAACTTCAAAAAAAATTTGAACTCGATAATTATGTCATATAGACAGGTAAACACACTCAAAGAATCAGAAAGTTCCTTGATTCCAGCTTCCAAATCACTGTCTGTTTGTTTTCGACATAGAACTTTGAACATATGTGCGGCAGTTCAAGTCGCCACACTCCCTGTTTGTAGCACACAAAGCAAGAGAAGAATGTAGAAGAAATGCATAATAGAGACAGTAAACAGAGGTGTAAGACAAAGGAATAGTAACAACGAAGAACAAAACAGTTTCATTGGAAATCATAAGTCACAAGGAGTGGATGCATCTGCACCAGCCATTGAGAACGATTTTGAGCCATGTCACCAATTGTTTCCAACCATTGGTTTCTGCCGTCCCGAGGACCCCAACCAGTCAGGAAGTCTACACCTTCCTACGTGGCTTAGACTAACTGTTGTAGATTTCATTGACTGGTGAAGCGATGTTTTGGTTTGACCGCCGCTAGCTCTTTTCCAGCCTGACCCTATATCAGCTAACATTGCCCATTGTCGAGGAAGGCGATGACTAGGCATGTGTAACACATGTCTTAACCATCTCAGTCGATGTAATTTCACAGTCTCGTCGACTGATTTCCCCTCCTTACCTAGCACTCGACGCCTAAGCTCAGTATTGCTCACCTTATTATACCACTTCACACGGGAGATAGAACGCAGGCATCTATTGTCAAAGACAGCTAGCCTTTTCATGTCTTCCACTCTCAATGGCCAGGTCTCACAGCCATAAAGGAGGACGGAGTGGACTGATGAGCAGTACACTCGCCCTTTGGTCGATAGTCGGATATCACGTCTACGCGAGAGACGGCGTAAACTGGCATATGCAAAACTAGCCCTCTGTATTCGTGCTGAGATTTCGTCAGAGATCAACCCGTTGGCACTGGCTGATGGTACTTCTAAAGTAAGTGAAGCGGTCAACGTGCTCTACCACTTCACTTCCTATTTCTAATCTAGGAGTCGGTGTAGTCCAGTCCTGTAGCATCATCTTACATTTTACAGGGGCGAATCGCATGCCAAACATACGAAGATTGTTGCTCAAGGTGTTCAGAAGACACTGCATTTTGTCAGCGTCCTCGCCTAGAAGGACTATATCGTCCGCATATTCTAAGTCAACGAGATTATTCCCTGGTAGCAAGTCAATCTCTGAGTCGCTGAGGTGAGTTAGGGTCAAGTCCATCAGTACGTCTATGATGAAATTGAATAGAAATGGGGATAATGGGCATCTTTGACGGACGCCACTAGTCGTCACCATTTCAGATGACAACTCGCGTAAGCCCCACCTGGCTGCATGAGTACAATGTATTTTCTCGTCATTCCCTTTAGAGCCAAGCATGGCTAGAGAACCTCTCGGTCGACAGAATCGAATGCTGCCTTTAGATCAGGAAATATAATGATTGTCGGACGCCGGTAGGAATGCCTATGTTCTAGAATCTGTCGGAGGGTGAAGATATGACCAATACACCCTCTTCCTGGCCTAAAACCTGCCTGGTTTTCTCGTGTTTGTGCCTCCCGAGCACCACTTAGTCAACGCAATATTATTGAGCCTAGGACTTTAGATACTATATTAGTCAAGCTAATCCATCTGTGATTATCACAAGAAGACTTGTCTCCCTTCTTGTATATCGGGATGATCAGTGACTTACACCAACCCGATGAGATTTCCTCTGATTCCCAGACGCTGCCTAGTACCTCAGTTAATGCAGACAGTAAACTGTCTCCACCGGAGTCATTCCATCTGGTCCCGCTGCTTTGCCTTGCTTCAGATTAGTGATAGCTTTAGTAACCTCAGTTAAGGTAGGAGGACCTGTGTCTATATCCCATTCAGGGAGGTGTTGGATGTTCGTAGGGGACGTAACTGTTTCGCTGCCGTCAATTTCTTATGTCCATTTAGTCGTAAGCATAAACGTGCGCGAACCAGAGCGTGATCAGAGTCTACGCACGTGTTCCAGAAGGAGCGACAGTCTTCTACTGACCCTCGCCAACGATACCCTATGGCTATGTGATCTATCTGAGTCCAGCGTTGATTTGGTGATGGAGGTCGCCAGGTTACACAATGTCTCTCTTTGTGCCTAAAGTTAGTGCTGACTAGGAACAGATGATTATCTGAGCAAAACTGTAGAAGACAATCACCGTTGTCGGCAGGGAGCTCCATACGTACCACCTACATACTTCTCAGTCTGGCACAACTTCCCTACTTGGGCATTGAAGACGCCTGCTAAAACAACTATATCTGAACGTTTTGCTTTTTGCAGCAAATTAAACAGTTTCGGGTAGAAGTCACCTGAGTAGTAAGGAAAATGAAAATGGCATCAGCAATAATCTAAGAAACAATCAAAACTAATTAATAGTGTAAGGAAATAGTCATCATTTGAGGGATTAGTGTATACACAACCTTCCAGTTACTTTGGTTTGAATGTTGGGACAATGTACCAGCATACAGGATCCAAAGATCAATAAACACTTGCCGCCGTATTATAAACAGTATTTCATTACTTCTTGAAAAATATCTATAATAATATTAATCAGTCGACTGAACTAAAACAATATTCAAATTTCACAGTTATGTCTCCATCGTGATTAATTAAAAGAATTATGTGTTGGCAACAGATCCCTGTAACACCAGACTTTTATCCAAATGATTCGAATTTTCTTCGGAAAAGTTGTATGTGAATCACGGTGTTTAGATTCGATTGGGTGTAAGATTCATTTATAGAACCAGTGGGTTATACCAACTGTCTTGACTTTAGCCAGCTGTGCTCTGTTATTGTCAGCTAGTTGCAATTAGTGACGTGAAAATTCAAAAAACAATCTGACTTCTTCTCATGGTAATGCAAAAAGCAAGTTGATCTATCAAGTTCGATACTCATCTTCAGTAAGACTCAGTGTCAGACAGACAGATCAGTGAGATTCAGTGAAATAAAAACTACGGAATATAACAAGTTTTAATAAATCAATATTACAATCTTTGTAAATGTTATACACATTATACTACTTGACTAGACTTGCAAACTATATGTTTTCTGCGTTGCCACAAATAAACCCCGAAAATTTGATTTCTTTCATATGATTCATATCGATTTCCTATAGGTAGGTAATTCGATTCACAACTGAATAATTCACACTTTTGGGAAAACTATTCTTAGGTGCCAACAATAATATACCTAGCATACACCAAAAATACACCAAAAAGTCAAAATGAGAGTTTATTTAGTATTTCAAAAGGTACTGAACTTGCCAAAAATTCTTGCCTTTTAAAGATCATTACAGAATGTGCTGAACACTAGTTTATCTATTTGGTTTTGTTCATATTGTAATGTTCATGGTGATGTGAAAATTGTGTGATGGAGTGTTTGAAAAAGTTATGTGCAGTAATACTTGGCTAAATTATAGGATTATAATAATAATATTAATAATAATAATAAACAACTTCATGTAATCCTTCTCTGTTCACTACCTGCACAATATTTGTGCAGTATTATTAGCAAACACAACTAAGCGTAAATTGAAAAGTATCGAACCTCTGCGTAAAGCTTTTTTAAAATCTTGCCTTCGTGTTTGTATATTATTCTGAAACGTAATCTGTAATCACGTATGACTTTTCGTGATCTTCTCTAGTCTGTTTATGAGAGTGTTATCAGTCAAATATCGAAGAGCCTGTGTGAGATGAATATTGTTTATCCCAAATTTCCATTCATTCTATGATGTTTATTACCATTCAAATGATATATCATCAACTTGTCCCATGTTTCACTATTTGTCATGGTTTGTCTGTTTTAGGGTATTCTTATTTGCTGACGTGTAACTCCATTGCATACACGTTTGACAGAGTACACTGTTATTTTGTTGTTCCTATCTCTTTGTTACGACTAAATTGGTAGCGTCCTTTCATATCCTTACCTTGAGATTCTCACATAACATTCATAGTGTATAGCCTGGTATTACGTAACTCAGTTTCCAATAGAACGTTTTTGTTTTAGCCCTACTGAATTGTCCTGACATTTTATTTATTTTGATTTTAGTATATGGCTCATTATATGGCTCATTCAGTAAAGTAGTGTTATCATGGTTTGTTGGTCGACTGTACGAAATATAATCCATACAGTGACATAAGTAGACAACTGATTTTCCCAATTTCAAAAGTTAATTTCCTCTATATGTTTTGTTATTAGCGACTGTCAGGTGAGAGTTCAAAGTCCGCGCTTTTTCTATCCACCCTAAATAGCGCTAAACCAGAAAAACTAATTAGCACGCCTTTGTACGTAATAAATTTGAATTTGTTTACTTGTTGCTCATTCACTCTTAAGGTGTTCTGAGTGTATTTTAATCGTAAATAATATCTAGTAATCGTAAAAAACTAGATCTTTTATAGTCAAGTCGTATTTCCAGTTGATGACAACTATAGTCCGACTTAATATGATGACTCTCATTTCAACTAGATTTCTCTAAATTTTTAATCACTCAGTCTCCTTTATCGCCTATACATCTTATTCCATTTGATTTTCAGGTACGGACTAGTAAACAAGACGTTATCTTGGATGTTTCTAGTCCATTTCAGTTGCCCGATGGTTCCCCATCTTTTAAAGATTATAGTAAGGATCGAAATAACAGATATACTACACCTACTCTGGCTAAAAAGAATCGCATTCATCCACTTTCACGTACTCTGCATTACTGGAATGCCCCACCTAAAATAACTGTTGATGACATGGTAGAGTTTCTGCAAAAATGCGGAGCTGCAAAACCTCAGTACGTTCTCCTATTTTATTTTAATATACACAAATATTCACTAGACCTTGTACAAGTCTCATTTTCAGACTATACCATAAAGTATAGACAAGTGACTAGTCACTCATCTTATTACTTTATGCCAAATTGTTAATAACTAAACTGTTTGGGGTTTTCTAACCTTCAATTTTTGTATGATCTAGTCTAATAGAAGAAAAAGTATTGCACTCTGAATTCACGTCATTTGTGCATTTGTTAAGTGGAATGATTTCGGTCAATGGACTTTCCTTGGGTTGTTGGTTTGGTGGAGTCTGTGCAGGTATATATTTCATTGAGTAGTGAATACGTTACAAATGGAGAGTGTTGTAAAAGTATTAAGTCAACCAATGAAATCTCGCGCTCATGCCATCGGGTTAGAGCCTGTAGCGTCTGAAGTGACATAAACCGTTAGTGTTCATAAGGAGTATTCATTGTCAATATCCTATTCAAGTTTATTGTAAGCATGCTATTAGTTTCCGAACATTCAGGAAATGATGCGGTAGATGATGAGTATTCTTTAAAAAAGACATATTTTTCGAACGTTCTGTTCCATGACACCACACCACTAAGTATCAGTCTGTGTCAGTGTGAGACTTTCATGGCGATGTTGACTGTCTGGTTGGAATTGTCGGGATTCTAAAAATCAATAGCTGAAAGTTGTTTGTAATTTTTTCGTGATCGTGATCATATGTTCACTTTTTACTGTCATTGGAGTTCTGTACATTTTCTCTAGTCTGCATTTAACTATTTTATTCCTTCAATATGGTTGTCTGGTGCGGTATCATCACACTTGTATTCTGTGTCCTTTTTCGAACTATGGCAACGTGACTCGTGCTTTTCTATGTTCCTTAGTCATCGAACGAAAACAAGATGGTGGCTTATATACTAGCATTTATAGGAAACCGACACACTAATAAATACGTAGACTTTAATTCATTCCATCCAGAATCGTTAAATACAGGTTTATTTAAATGTCTATATAATCGGGTCAGGTGCTTAACTAGTAAATCAGAAGACTTAAATAATGAAATCAAACAAATAATAATGAAGTATTACTAGTGAATAACTACTCACCAGAATTTATTCAAAACTATATGAAGAACCATAGAGAAAATTAGATCAGTAACGGAAATGACAAAATATAGAATTCAAAGCCTTTGTAGTACTGCCTGCCGTATAAATAAGGAACGTGAGAGGCGTTACGTAGGATTCTCAATGAGACTGGAATTAGTCAGGGTGGCGTTTCAACCAACCACCTAACTCTCTTAGAGATCAACTTTGTCGGTTTAAGGACCCAATAGATCCAATTAAGGAAAATAATATGATTAACCAAGTACCCTGTGAGGTGAATTACCTAGGTTGAACTAGTAGAGTGGAGGTCAATTAGATTATTGGAGCATAAAAATTTAGCTAGGCGTAGAATGATTGACCCTGGTGAGTTAGCCTGTTAAATAACGTGGAATAAAGCGTAGTCATTGCATTGCATTCACTTGCATGTAACCGCACACAATAGTGTGGGACACGTGCAGTCGAAATGACGCAACTCCGTTACCGGAGATATGGGGGAGTGGCAACAAACAAAATGGGGAAGAGGGAGATAGAGAGGAAATATATGTAAGGCTCATAGCGAATGCCATGGTCCGGGTCGACCGGCCGACGCACTCCTTTACCTCGCTAAGCAGAAATAAAGGTGGTAAAGGAAAGGTGTCAAATTACGAAGCCGTGTTGCTAAATTGATATGATTATGAGTAATAACGTTTCAAATAGTAACGTCATCGAGTTATTAATACTGCAGCACTGTGTGATATTTAAAACAAACTTACCTAATATGGAATTAAATTCTACCACAGTGCCGAAGTTCTACACTCACTTCAATATTGTTGTCTGTTGCGGTATCATCACACTTGTATTCTGTGTCCTTTTTCGAACTATGACAACTTTATCCGTGGTGTTCTACGCTCATTAGTCAGTTGTTCCCAATTAAATACCATTTTTGGAGTTGAATCCATGTTGTAGGTTCCTCATAATTATGAACATATATCTTTTGTATCGGACTTTCTTGATTTCCAACTATTTTACTGGATAATTATACTAGTGCTATTTTTTGTTACTGTGCTATCTGGAAGTATGTCAATATAAATCGGTAAACGTAGTGGGACGTAACACTGTCGTTCTGATGCCGTGATGATTTACTGGTCCATTCCAGTTTAAAAAGGTGTTAGTTAAGTGCTTGTTCAGACCTATTTAACAAATGTGTATAGAGGATGCCATTGAAGAAGGAATGCAAAGCCGTCATAAAATATTATTAGATAATAACTATCCCCTGAAATTCATTAAACGCTATAGAAGCTTCAAACAAAGGGTCCCATCAATCCAATCAGCTCCCAAAAGGGATGGTTATTTATCTTGACCATTCAAGAGTGATCACCAAACAAAGATTCAGACACCTAACAGAACTTACTATGCAATTAAATTCATCTCCATAGAGAAAACGGAACTGTCACATCCCACTGTGTTTATCAATTTACATATATGTATGGTTAGACGTAGATGGGGAGGACCCGTCAATCTCTGCACGTCAGGGCTACAGAACACTTCCCTAAATGGCTGGAAGAACAAATAAAATCACGTCATCTAATTAATCCCAGGAATAGATGTCCACTGTCATCTATCGCAAAGCACATCATAGAGACAGGTCGTAAAGTTGATTTAACTAGTGGTTTTTAACTCATATATAAAATAGATTTGGGTCATATACTTAAATTTGTTAAAGTTTTGACCATAAAAAGGCTTAAACCTGTTTTATGTCTTCAAAAATTCTTTGTCAATACTTAGAACCTACTTTGGAAATCCAATTTTAGGACTAAGGTTCACTTTACTTAATAATATTTTCACTCTCTGTTTTCTTACCCCATATTCCTACCTCTTACCTGTAATCATGATCCGTAAACATTTTGACCTATGTTGGTAAATATTGTGATCCTTTATATTCTGTTGCTTTCTTATATAAGTATGTATGACAAGTACATGTGTGATCAGAATGTCCAAAATGTGTTTGCGCAAATACATTACACGTCTTGTTGTTTTCTCGAAATTCATAAAGGCAACTCATTGCTTCAAATTTCCGAAAATAATAGTTAACCGTGATAGTAAAATTCACATTACATTGCTTATATTCTAGGTTTGCTGAATTACTTAGACATATTTCCTCGAATGAGAACAATTCAATACCTGATTTGTAGTGAATATTCGCTAGTCGTGTTTCTTCGTATAATACAAATTTACCAAGTGACGTCATGTCAGCTCTGAGTGTCGTGTTTTGAAACATCACTATGACCTATTGCTTGAATTACATTCAAAATTTAGTTCAAATTCATACTTTTCAAAATCTCATACAAAAATTCATACACTAATGGACAACCAATTTGCTTTTTTGCTGCTGTTAGTGTATGCGATTTCATATTTTTACAGTGAAATCTGTTAATGCTTTTCCACTTTTAGACATGTTGAACAATTCTCAAAAGTTCCCGAAAAACCATCATCTGGTACTATTAGATTTGCCACCGATGGAGAAGCATGTGAGGCTCTTGCCTACTGTAATCACCAGGCACTAAAAGATGACGAATCTACACATCCGTATACCATTAAACTATCATTCGCGAATCCCAATTTATCTTCTGAACCAATCCATGTGGGAAGTCATCATTCAAATGGCAGTGAGAATGGCGGTGATCATATAGATTCATCTTAGTGAGTTATATTGTTATGATTATTAGTTATATATGTGTTATGTCTGTCTGTGACTGATTAATTTTGAACTGTGCTATTGAATGAATTCATGAATGTAAAATCTAAGAAAATAATTAAACTTGTTATGAAGATACTGTCAATACATGTTATCTTCATGAAACAGAATATGACATAGCTTCGCTGTTCAAAAATTTTAACCATTCAATCATGAATTCGGTCATACTTACAAATATGACAAATATTCATCTGTATGACTATTCCAGTCTTGTCTGACTGTGTTATTTAGGAACTAACTACTATAGCTATTTTCAAAACCAGTAAAAATATTTTACCCAATATTCGGTTACGTTTTTACATACGAAGGGAAGTTTTTCACATTCTTCCCTTTTTTGTATGAACTCTCTTTAGTGGGCCTATTATGTGTGTCCATACTCCAATTAGTCAACTCCCATGTCGATGAGTTCTTGTTGTTGTTGTTAAATTGCCTTTATTTAGAAATAAGCACATTCAGAGGTGTGTATGGGGGGGGATTAGTGGTGGTAAAGTCTCTGAGAGAGTGATGTAAATTCCAGTGTTTTAGAGAATGTGCATACTGTTATAGATAAGTGCTAACAGATAGAAAACGTGAGTCCAGGGAGTTTTTGGTGGCCAGCTCTTATCATCTTACACAGAAAACAAAATTGCCCTGTTGTGTGCAATGCATAGCAGCGTCGCATCTCATTTCAGACTTGATGAATGATGCGTCGGTGGCACAGCGGTTAGGACGCTCGCCGACCATGTACATGGTCCGAGGTTCGATCCCCTGCCGACACACACCCGATATCTATGGTCGGCCTACAAAATTTGGGCTATCGATATCACATGCTGAAAATTCCATACTTCTACCAAAAATACTGTGTGGTTTCAAGCTATAACCAAAGTAAATAAAAAATAAATGAATAGATTTCGAACAATGTTTTCAACGAGTAAGCTATGTTTGTTGGCATCTAGCATACAGTATATGTAAAATTTAGAATGATTTTTGCTGTTGGCCTCATAGCTTTTCGACCGAGATTGTATTTTCGAATATTTCGACTCTCTAATCATGGATGGGTTCTCTTCTTACTGTGATATGTTTCTCACTAGTAGGGTAAAATTTCAGTTGTAACCGATTTACAACGCAATGTTTACTTTTAAATAAATATACTCGGATAGGGAGAAGTCTCATTTAGAAAAAAATTTAATTAAGTGTTGTTCCCAACTATACATTTGAGTGCTGTTTGTGTCGCTTCGCTTGAACTACACTTTTATTTAGGCAATACACCGTAAAACTAAATGCATTTATAAGAATATTTACCATCACACAATCATCCACAACAAAATAATCACATTCATAATTCATTTACTTTATTAGAGATCATTCCATATCCATCAATGTTTATCTCAGTGATCATCATCATCATCATCACCACAGTATACAATTGAACATGCCATCACATCAGTCAGCACGGCAACTTGCACAGGATCTGTGAAATTATTATTCAATTATGCAAATATGTAGTACTGACTACTTTTTATGTTTCTGTTTTTATAATATCTTTGTTCACTTTTTTTTTTACCTAACGCAAATTATTATATACTTATGAAGTAAATGATTTCATTTGTCTTGTTTTTCAAATGATAATATCTTTACTGTTTTTCTTTTTGTCAAATATAATAATAGTATTGCTTCAATTCCTTTTTCTAATACACTCACTCTCACACACATGCACAAACACACTCAATGAGTAGTAACGGAGCATTCTGTATTTCTATGTGCACATCATGGTGGCATGAAAACTATATTTTCTCATACTTTGCTTAAGAAGTAGTTCTCTAAGACAGTGACTGTCTTCTCCACTGATTGATTGATTGATTGCTCTTGCTGCAGTTTTCCCACTAGGCGCATAAAGCCATATTGCAGTCAACTGATGCATGCCATACGATAACAAAGTAAAATGATTTCATCACTAAGTTGAACAGCAACATATTTTGTGAGTTTGTTGTTCTTAGACAGTTGGAGGCAATCGTCAGGAAGCCTTTGACCTAGGTTTGGAGGTCAAGGCTTCCTGCCGATTGCCTCCAACTATCTAATATCATCAAATCATTGTGCACCGTGATGGCGAGCTACCTAGAATGGTGGCCACATTGCAAACCTGACTGATAGAATTCAGTCTGCACCAAAGAAAGGACTAGACACGTCACACCAGTGTCCAATGAAAAAGTTTGTTGTTCTGTTTGAAAGTATTTGTGCTATTTGAAAAAAGATTTTGTGATGTAGAAGTTAGCAGATAGTTATTTCAATGAAAATTTATACTTATGCATCACCTTGGCTTTTTAAGTTGATTAAATCAGTACTCTCTTGTAATGATTTTAAGGAATTTGTCTGTAACATTATTGATAGCATAAATTTATTGACATCCACCTTCATTTCAGCTGTTATGTAATCTGTGTGAAGTTTTTCTAACTTCTAAACTATGTGTTTATTGCCAAAGCTTTCATTTATATGAGGTTAAAATTTCTATATCGATCACTATAATATAAGAGCTGTTTCTTTTAGGCTTCAAACTTAACGTATAGTAGTCGTTTTAACTGTTAGTACTGTGTTCATATATACACACGTAACTGGAATTTTGTTTCTCACTCCACTGATAAAAAGTTATGCTCTGGAGCAACAGTTTATCGGCAGAATATTTGATGAATAGTAATTTCGAGATAATTTCAACTGATTAACTTTTTAAAAAACTGTTCAAATCATTAGTCAATACTATATTTTTACCTTTAATCCATAAGTTCCGGATTGAAATCCCCATGCAATAAAAGTTTCTCATAGCTAATGCATGCTTTTCCCCCCAGGTATTTAAGAATTTAATGCTGTTGTTATGCTAACAAGAGTACTTTGTCATGCGTGTAAGATGGTCACTTTGTCACTGAGATTAACTTTGAAACATCTCTCATGATCTTTTTTCTCTTGTGTGGTTGCATTTTTGTAATGAAAACCAGTTGTTTCAACTGAGGGTGGGTAGACTTTGGTCTTCCCCAAATACTGTCATGGGGTCACGCGTTCAGAGCTTACGCCAGGTAAGTTTTATTCATTGCCTTCACGCGTCATCCCTCACAAAATTGAGGGGACGAATTCGAACATCTGGTGCTTACAACCGGACTGGTGTATATACTGGTCTATCTAAGGTGTGCTGGAAAACCCTCATTCCAAACTATAGTGTACATGGGCTCCAAAATCATAACGGATGGAATGTTGTATGAACCTGGCTCGGTCACCGAAAACCATGGAAATGCAGCTCATGACGCTTCTCCTCCACTGCCTTGTGAGTGGGACTTCAAATCAAAGGCTCGAGGGTAGTGACCCTTTAAGATAACCACTTGCTTCAGTCTAGGCGTCCGGTTAGTATCCCAACCCTTGCATAAACTATGACACTTCGTGTGACTCATCTCTTTGTGTCCATAATGTACCAACTTTGTGTTGTAATAATAATTTAATGAAAATGAGAAATATTATTCATGAGCCCGTTGACTTAGAATATGCAGACGATATAGTCCTTCTAGGCGAGGACGCTGACAAAATGCAGAGTCTACTGAACACCTTGAGCAACAATCTTCGTATGTTTGGCATGCGATTCGCCCCTGTAAAATGTAAGGTGATGTTACAGGATTGGACTACACCGACTCCTAGATTAGAAATAGGAAGTGAAGTGGTAGAGCACGTTGACTGCTTCACTTGAGAAGTACCATCAGCCCCAACGGGTTGATCTCTAACGAAATCTCAGAACGAATACAGAGGGGTAGTTTCTCATATGCCAGTTTATGCCATCTCTGGCGTAGACGTGATATCCGAATATCGACCAAAGGGCGTGTCAACTGCTCATCAGTCCACTCCGTCCTCCTTTATGGCTGTGAGACCTGGCCATTGAGAGTGGAAGACATGAAAAGGCTAGCTGTCTTTGACAATAGATGCCTGCATTCTATCTCCCGTGTGAAGTGGTATAATAAGGTGAGCAATATTGAGGTAAGGCATCGGTCGAGTGCTAGGTAAGGAGGAGAAATCAGTCGACGAGACTGAAATTACATCGACTGAGATGGTTAGGACATGTGTTACGTATGCCTAGCCATCGCCTTCCTCGACGGTCAATGTTAGCTGATATAGGGTCAGGCTGTAAAAGAGCTAGCGGCGGTCAAACGAAAACATGGCACCAGTCAATGAAATCTACAACAGTTAGTCTAAGCCACGTAGGAAGATATAGACTTCCTGACTGGTTGGGGTCCTCGGGACGGTAAAAACCAATGGTTGGAAACAATTGGTGACATGGCGCAGATGCATCCACTCCTTGTGACTTATGATTTCCAATGAAACTGTTTTGTTCTTCGTTGTTACTATTCCTTTGTCTTACACCTCTGTTTACTGTCTCTATTATGCATTTCTCCTACTTTCTTCTCTTGCTTTGTGTGCTACATGGAGTGTGGCGACTTGAACTGCCGCACATCGGTGCAAAGTTCTATGTCGAAAACAGACGACAATCATGAGCGTCAATATTTTAAACAGAATACAACTCTTTCTTAAAAGCTGATTGAGATTTCAACGGAAAACAGATTGTCATATGTTTAGCCACTCAATTACTTACATTTGGAGTTTTTAAGATATTTGTCATCATAATTAGTCTAAATCCCTTTGACGCAATTTTCCATCATAGAAGTTACTCCTTTTTTTCAAGACTGAGAAATTTAATTTTCCGTGAAAACTAACCGAAGTTTTGGTGATATCTTTACTCTCTGCTTCACTAAGCTTGTTATGTGGTGTGCAGGTAATGCATGTAAAGTTGTTCCACTTATTCATTAAGCATAAATAGATTACCCCTTGTGCACGATGAACACACTAACAATCGCTTCATTTTAATCTAACAAAAACAACTCATTGTTTCAATCTGTGCTAGGAAAAATATACATCAGACAGTTAGCATACAAAAATAGGAAGCGCGGTGGCACAGTGGTTAGGACTCTCGCTGACTATGCACATGGTCCGGGGTTCATCCCCTGCTGACGCACACCTGTTATCTATGGTGGCCTGCAAAATTTGGGCTACCGATATCCTGCTAAAATTCCATACCTGTCCAGAAAAATACGGTGTGGAATCAAGCTGTAATAAAAAAAACAAGTTGAATACATTATAGTAAATATCTGTTAAATTAAATTCAAAGAAAGCCTCGATTTTTACAATCTCAATGTTTCTTGCCGAAGGTGGTTGTGTTTCTCAGTTCTTCGAGAGTGTATGCATAACTTCTTATAAAAGTAAAAATTTGTTCTAATTAGGAATAAATTCGACAATGTTTCGTGCTGTTTGCTCAATCAGTTCAGTCAGTAGAAGCATTTTAATTATTCATAAATTATATTTCAAGTAATATGTGACGTAAATTGACCAATTAACTATATATAACCTTGTACCTGAAAGAGAAAAAATGATTGACTTCGCGTGATCGCAGAACCGAGGTGATGACTGACTGCTTGAAACGAGTCTCACATGGCTATTGCGGGCAAAGTGGGTCGAGATTATATAATTACACCGTCAGACTTTTCTTACTCTCCTTCCAAGAGTTAAATTCCATGTAGCTGGCCTGATGGTTGTTAGTCTGTAACATTTTGGTGCTATTACTTCATTAAGTGGTAGCAGTATGACTCTCCATCATAGTTTGGGCAACTTACCCTGCATCTTTTCTAACCACTATTCATCTACTTTGCTGAACTGGTAGGATTTGTAGGAATATTCTTCTCAGATGGCATAGCGTGTTGGATAAATGCTGTACACAAACTCAACCACTTCATGTCAGCAGGTATCTTTCTGGTTTGTCGATTGACTAGAAAGTTATTTGTCAATTTCGACTCAAGAAGTTACAGCCCCCGGAGGGGAACAGCCAAAAAGAGATCCTATGTAGGGAAAATGATCTGTTGGGAACAACTCAGTTGTTCAGTTTTCGTGCATTCAAGTGTAAACACTGTCAATTCATATTGTGGCGAGTGCTACTGATAAGATTTATCAGTAGTATATGTATATAGAGAGATGTTCATCGGCAGAAAAATATCAAATAGTAGGGAGATAGATTTGATGTCAGAGAAAGCAAATGATACAGCGTTGCGGAGATACATGGAAGACGTGAAAGGAACATAAAGAAACACAATATGAAGGAAGGGCAGAAGTAGCACAACACAGAAGATCTGTGCAAATGGTGCGTTGAAGATAAGGTGTACATAATTTGGCTATATAGAGATACCAAATTGCAAATTAATATTCCTTTACCAAGTCTCTCGTCTTCTACCGTTACAATACGAAGAAGTAGTGGAAACTAATGCTGAAACATTTAAAGCAATATTTTGCATCCCTGTGATATACTCACGACGTGATTTACATAACTCTGTGATCTTGCTGATTGAGTAAGCTTTCAAGACCATCATCAGCCTAGTGTTTTTAAAGTGATTGGGAGAAACAGACACATGACAAGAGGAAGAAATCTGTACAGATGCATATCTGAAGATTTGTTTTTAATACGTTTGAAAAAACATTGGTTTTGTGTGTTTGTATTGTTCTTTCTCGAGACTTGAATTTTGATTAGATTTCGTTTTCTTCTATACATCATTCAGTGCTACTACATAATTAAACATCCACTCGTAGAACTCAACAATATAAGCATCCACTAGCTATAAATCTCAATTTTAACGAAGTGTAGGTGATTGGCAGTCACATACATTTTAAACAGAAACTCAGTTAACTCCTAGTAATAAAACAAATAATTTGAAAAGAAACACAGGGAGGAGAAATAAAAGGCGTGAGCAGTATAATAGAACATTTAAGCATACTTATCAGGAGCTCTGGAAAAAGCGTTCATTACTTCATATTACTTTCAGAACTAGAGGAGAGAGAAAGTTGCAGAGTGTTTGTAAATGTTTTCAACATTGAGTGGTACCTAAAAACGTCTCGATCATCTGCATTGTGTGATCTCTTGGAGCACACCAAAAGATGCCCAGGGTACTACGTCATGGGCTGACTGCCCTATTTTTCCAACCTACCCGATGACTAAGGAACAGCTGCATATTCCCAAGTAATTGCAATCGATATCCCAATGTGACATCACTTGTTCGAGACCAAATAAAGGACGTCTACCACTGTTAATATGCCATCAATGAAGACATAGTCGAACATGGCGTCAACACATGTCCACTACTCGAAACAGGTTGTCTAATTAAGGCGTGCATCGAAACTGCACTCAGTGGATCGGTGTAAACCCGGACTTTGATGAACTAGCAGTGCAGCAACGCCAAACGTGACCTAGATTGGTGTACGCTACTCTGTCTTCTGCTGTTCCATTGGAGATTTTATCCCTCACACCACGACAGTTAGTGGTAGATATGAACATCTTGCAATAGTACATTCAGTCGGTGCAAAGCACATCATACTTACCGCTGACTGATGAAGTGTAGTCTTTTTATATTGAACTCTAAGTATTCAACGAGCAGCTTTCCAGTCATTTGTTTTGAAATGTTGATGAAAGTCTAAAAGTATGTAAAATACTTCAATCTCCAGTAGGATCTATTTCTCAACGCTTGAAAATCAATTTTCTTTTGAGTTTCAGTCAGAAACTGTACAGCTGTGTTCTGTACTTAGATCACTGTCCGAAAGCCTCAGAGAAATTATGCCAAGCTGTTTGTCCACTTTAATGCTTCTGTTCAGTTCATCAGCATAGTGCTTTGCCATAGTTGGGGAGGGTGGGGGGGAAGAAACGTCTTAATCTTCTCATTAGCCACAGATTTGATTATTTGTCAACCTTTTTACTAACAGTGCTAGATAGAAACTTGAACTTAATACAGTTGTCATGTCATATAGCAATGATCAAGTGACATAAATACAGGAATGATCAGCAACTGCTGAATGGTCCCAGTTGACAATGTTCTTCAGCAACCATTGAATAACTTTTTGAGATTACTTGTGTACTCATCAAATTGAAAGTGTCGAAAATGGTAGCTGTGAGATAAGTGTCAGTGGTTTTGCTTATTGTATGACTGATTTTCACGTCAACTTAAATAGTTTGATACTTGAAATTTATCGTCATTCTAGCACTGGGCTGTATAATTATTTGTAAATGGTAAACACTCGTCATATGCAGATATTAAAATAAAGCATAAAATGATTTCGGAGAACTATCTGAATACCTTTCAAAGCTGCCATATGTTGCTAGTGGTGATCTTATCCTCTTTCTTACATGAAAAAAGGTCATAGTAGGACAGATTATCGTGATAAACAAGTTACTTGTACTCATATCTTAAGCCTGAAATAGTTCGCGGTCAGAATGACATATTGAATAAAATATGCGGGTACATAGTTCTGATTGGGAAATTGTATGATCTGTCCCAGTGGAAAGTATTTTTGTGGAATTGATACCAAATTAACAATATTCCGCGTCGGTGGCACAGTGGTAGACTGCTCACCAACCACGCATATGCTTCGCGGTTCTATTCCCGGCCGACGCACTCCTTTACCTCGCTAAGCCAGTAATAAGACTGGTAAGGAGGGAGGTGAATAACGCTTTGGCGTTTGAAATTATAGATACTGGGGTCGAGCCCTAGTGGGAACACCAACGCTCGCTGGGGAATACACGTACATCCAGTTGACGAGTCCTAAATAGGACGAAATGCGCATTCTGGATTCCATGGCTAATCACTGTCCACTAAATTACTTTAAGTAGCCTTCTTTTATATATTTAAATTATGGAATGACGAAAATAAGAATCTGCAGTTATCTGAGATTGAATATCCTTGAAATAGGCTTGCCACAAACTTTGATTTTTTGGCTACTTTCCACTGAATTTGGAATGAAGAAAAAAATAGAAATGGTGAATTTTTCCTCGATTGGTCAGATATTCATGTTTATGATGTATAAATGGAAGTTTTTTTAAAAAACATCCCTATAATTATCGTCGAGTACAACCTGAACTCCACAGTTTGACTTTAAATATGTAATCATGGGCATAAGGACTGATACTCACCGATGACAGTGATTTGTGGTTGCACTAAATTTCACGAATTGGTAGAGGTTAGAATTGATGAGCCATTGGGTGCTCACCAATTGGCTGAATGGTATACGAGCTTGACTTGTAACCTGAAGGTTTTTGGTTCGATCACTGGTAGGTTTGTGGATGTGTACTGGGGAAAAGTCCCAGTCAAGGACTAAGCAGCTCTGTGGTACTCCCTGGTTCGTAATGGTTCTCTAACTGAAGTTAATTAGCAATTAAACTTAAAAGTAAACATTTTTTATTCGGCAAATTAAAACATATCAATCATTGGTGCACTCCAACTATACAACATAGCAATTTATTGTCGGTACTGTGTCCTGATTAATTTTCATATTGAATTTTTGGGACTGTATGATGTACATTGTGTTCCTAGGAAGAAAATATATTTCCTACAGGTTGTGGATGAAGTTTGCTGCTGACCCGACACAGCAAGTATAAGATTCATGTTTTTATCCAAATATGAAATCTTAAATATATATTCATTCTTTTTCCCATTGGATGTAATGTCTTATTTCTAAAGTTCATATTAACTGAATAGATAATATGTATTATTATTATAATATTATTATTGTTCCCTTGGGTTCCTAGTGCAACATAGGGCTTCAACTGCACGCCTCCACTTGCTTCTGTCTTCTGCTGTACTTTTCACCTGCGTCCATGTTAATCCATACTGTTTCAGCTCCTCTTCACACGATCTCCTCCATGTCACCCTTGGACGTCCCACTCGCCGCTTACCTTTCGGGTTCCACTCGAGGGCCAGAGAGAAGACAGTTGTTGATAAAGGTTTACAACCTGTTGAAAATATTCTTTCTGACCCGTATAGAAGAACTGACTTGACGTTTGTATTGAAAATCCGAATTTTGTTGTTGATGCTGAGTGACGAAGATTTCCAGATTGGTTCCAGGTTGATGAATGTGTTTCTCGCCTTCCCGATTCTCGATTTGACATCCTCGTCCATTCCTCCTGTAGTTGAGACAATGCTCTCTAGATAAGTGAAAGAAGTAACCTCTTTCAAATCCCTCCCGTTGATGGTGATTGGCGCTGTATGTTGCTGCTGCTGTTGTTGTTGTTGGTTGGTTATTTTCATAACCTCCGTCTTGTCTATGTTCACCTGGAGTCCTGTCTTCACTGCCTGCTTCTTCGACCAGTTTGTCGGTTTTCGCTTGTAAGTCTTCGGTTTTGTGTGTCATCAAACATAAATCATCCGCGAAATCTAGGTCTTCTTGATTCTTCATGTCGGTCCAGGGTATCCCTGTCTTCTCGTTTCCCACTGTCTGACGCATAATCCAGTCCACCACAATTAGGAATATCGTTGGTGATAATAAGCAGCCTTGTCTGACTCCTGTGTTTACTCCAAACGCCTCGCTGAGTTTTCTGTTGTGGATCACTTGACATGTGCCATTGTCGTACAGCTGTTGAATAAGGTTGATGAATATTTGGAGTAAGCCGTAGTACTCGAGTAGTTTCCAAATTACTTCGCGGTCAACTCTGTCGAAGGCCTTCTCAAAGTCTATAAGGTTGATGTAGAGGTTTGATTGCCATTTCATGCTTTGTTCTGTGATGATGATGCGTAGAGTTGCAATTTGGTCAGAACATGATTTGCCTTTCCTGAATCCAGCTTGTTCTGGTCGGAGTTCTGTATCCAGGGTGTCCTTTATTCTCTCCAGGATGATGAGACTCAGATAATATGTAAGCTTGTTTCTAATTTTTTTAAAACTCTTTCTTTTACAGAATTACATCGAATTACAAGGTATGAATGTGCTCTAAGCTACCTAACTCATCTTTCAATTACATTTTCAATCTGTGCGGGGTTGATAACAGATGATATTCATAACCATTATGTTTTCTATCTCATCTTTTTCAGGAATGAATAAATAGAAACAAATGTAAATATCCTTGGTCGCTTTTACATAGAAAAAAAGGTTTTTCTTTTGCGTTACTGTAAATATGTGTGTGTGTGCCGTCAAACTCTGTATGATATTTTATTTGCTGTGATATTTGAAAATAAAATAAATAAATGTGTTATTACTACAAACAGTATTTTTCGAAATTGATATCAGATAATATTAAAAAAGGAGTTAATTAAATGCAGGATGTTGTTAACATTGAAGGGGGGGGGGGTCGGAGGTGGCATGGCTGGTTGTGTATTTGGTGTAGGACTGACTACCTATAGTCATAAAGCGAAAAATATTATCTCATCGATATGAAACCGAAGTTGTTTGACTGAAAGACTATTTTGTGTGTCTGTGTGTGTGTGTGTGTGTGCGTACATTAGTTTCGACGATTATTACGCACTGGAATATCTCGCTTGTCACACTGACTCAATACTGTAGCTAACCGGATATTTACACGCATATCTATTTGTTGTAGGTGGCTACAAGTAGAAGGCTTTTGATGTCTTCATCATTTCACTATCCATTTCGAACTATTCACTGATTAAGAGTCATCCAGAAAACATGCATCAAGCATCATCAGGTAGTTTTTTTTCAACTCATCAAGCCCTATGCCTCGTTTACTGCTGAGAGTAGTCTTAAATGAGTATTTGTCATTGGAAAGAATGACTGTTGATTCCAGATGTCTCAAGAAGTTTGGACTTTTGTATGTTTCCTTTATTCTTTTACGTTCTCAATGGAATATAGGGCCTTCAAACTAGAGGCTTGAAGTTTCGGTAGCAGTGGTATTTAATTTTTACGGGATGGGGTTGCTAGCCTCACGCCCAACCCTCCCTCTTTACCAGTTTCATTGCTGATTTAGTGAGGTAAAGGAGTGCGTCCAGTGGCCGGGGATCGAACCCTGAACCACCTGCGTAGTCGGTGAGCATTCTATCTCTGTGTCACCTTTTGAATGTTAGAAGCTGATATTTGAGAATTCTAATACATGTGGGTGTTGTGCGTATTTATTAAACTGTTTCTGTTCATGAAGCGTTTAAAGGGTGTAGATATGATTGATTTTCTATTGGTTGAAGATGTTCATTATAAATTTCAAAAGAGTGACCAGTAGGGTGCAGCAGGTCGGGTGTGAGGACAAATACTCGCCGAAGACATTGGCTAGTGGTCGCGCTATGTCGTGAATTGGCAGAAGTTGGAATTCATGGGCCATTGGATTGGGTCCCAGTGGCTTAATGGTCTACGAGCTAGCTCGCCTTGTAACCAGAAGGTCCTGGGTTCGAACCCTGGTGGGTGCGTACTGATGAAGAGTGCCAAACTAGGACGAAACAGCTGTCCAGTACTTCCAGGTTTTCCAATGGTTCTCTAACTGATGTCAGCTCATGATGAAATCCTGTAACCAATCAATCAAATCCCTACAAACCAACACTTGAATTTCAAAAGAGTGATTAGTCAACAAAGGATATTCTTTTTGATAACTTCTTCATCAGGTTCTACAGTTACATGTCTGCAATAATTAAAGCATGATTGTTATTAACAACATTAGTGTTTATAATAATATTGAATCAGTAATGTCAATAGATCATAGTTCAAGTGTGTCTGTAAATGATAATATGCATCACTATAACACAAAAATTGAATATCAGATAAATTAAGGAAACTAATACAGGATTTATGAATTCACAGGTTCCACAGCATGCTAGGTTGGCTACAGTGGCTTGTTTCATTTGCACTCAGAGTTTTGGTTGTTTTAAGCTAATTGCAATGCCTTCTGCTGTTTGAAGTATACGGTATCTATAGGACGAAGAGGACGTCCACTTTGGCCAATGTAGTGTTTTTCGCAGTCGTTGCAACTTATTTTGTAGATGATGTTGGTTTTATCTTTTTTCACTGTTGAGTCTTTTGGTTGTCACAAGGCTGAGTTAAGTGATTTTGTTGGTTTGTGTGCGACGTAAATTCCTAAAGGTTTGAAGAGTCTTACAGTGATTTTTGAGATGTCTTTTATATGTGGTAGGGCAATTTTCTTTGTGTTTTCCTTGGGGGCATTTGATTTGGTTGGTTGACTTGGGGTTGTCTTTTGATGAAGTCCCGTGGATATCCATTCTTTAAGAAGAAGTCCATGAGATATTTTTCTTCAATTTTCCTTAAGGCAGGAGTGCTGCAATGTGTCCTGGCTCCCTCATAAACTAGCCGCCAAAAGACATGACATCCACTCCCCCATATCGCTGCATACAGATAACCACGGACATCAGTTCGGCTGGGACAGTGTTCAAATATTAGACAGTGGAAACACCAAGAATGCCAGAAGATTTTTAGAAGCCTGGTATTCCAGTGAATCGTCAATCAATAGACACATTGACATAGGGAAAATTTACCAATTGGTAAGAAGGGAATCTCATACACAAAGGGTCAAAGTTCAAGTCAAGGAAACAATCAGTTCCAATACAAGTAGCCCAGAAGTTATGGAAACACACAAAAACAACCAATCACGTTCAAGGTGGTCACCGTGAAAGAGATGACTTATAAACTCGTGGACTTCTAGAGCCTTCGAAGTTATATCTATAGGGTAACTTTTTACACCATAAAAACTAAATGCATAACTGTAAGTGCGTGTCATCCCAAGCCGACAATACTCTCACGTAAATAAAAGAAGTACTTAGTCGTAATAGTCAAACGAGAACGGTTGTTAATTTGGTTTGTTCGGTGGTATCGTTTGCATTACAATGCTAACGTCAGTGGAATGTCCTAGGTTGCTTGTTAGGCATAAACTAAGACCATTTCATCTACCAAGGCCTACAGGAGTAAGATGGGTGTAGTTGGTAACATAGTGTTGGAAACTTAGTATATAAATTCCCCTTTATATATATAAACAAGGGGAGTAAATATTAGTGCAGAATAACATGGATCCATTCTATTTCATCGGTTCTCTCCAGCTGTGTACAACCTGTAGCATTTAGTTGAACAAGTCATAATACGGTTTTAACAGACTTTCTGTTTACCGTCAAAGATCAGTTCTCCAGTAATGATGACAACGTCATAGTGAAATAATACAAAAGAGATTTATCTTATCTTTGTAAGAGCAAATTTGTCGTAAAAAACTGAATAAATAAATTTATTGTTAACTTGGCGACGAGTATATGATGATTGCGTAACCACAGGAAATAAAATACAGTGAGTGGAACTCATAAGCTTGAGAAATCGAAATTTGGTGTATAAGAAGTGGAATGAAAAGATGGGGATGTAATACAATGAGTAGAACTCGAAAGATCAAGGAAATTAAGCCTAACATGAGAGTTGAAGGTGGAACGAGGGAAAAACAAATTGATATATTCAGAAAAAGAGTTATTCAGAACAGAATTACCAGGGTAATTGAAGTCTCACGGCGGGTTCCTTTGGGCACAGGTCAGATTTGAGCCATTTTACTGCGAAGCCTTGGCAAACCAAAGAAGACTTGAGCTGTTTTATCTGTTGATTATTTTGAATGTTCCCAACTCGTTTACTCGGTGTCCTGTGTCTATCAAGTGTTAGGCAATTGGCGAGTTAAAACTATTTGACCTCTTTAATCAAGGTCTTGTTACATATTCGAAGGATCTGATGTAGTCCCTTCTTTCGTTTCTGCTAATGTATTTGCTCCCGCAGATACACGTGAATTGATGTATACAGTTGGAGGTAAAATATACGAGGTGCTTGTCGATTCTTGACTGTGCCAGCGAGAGGGATATTGGGGAGAGGGGGGGAAGAGAGACTTAAATGTTTGTCTATGGTTTCCATAATGTCATCGCCTCTGAAGTCTAGATGAATAGAAATCGGTTTTCTGCTGACCATAATTATATCAACGTTTTTACATTCTTTCTTGTCATATTTGTTGATGAAACTTTGTGGGTAGTGAATTTCTTTCAGACATTTTTGAAGTAAAGTAAGTTCACTGTTTAATTTATATTTATTTTTTCTGCTCTACAGAAGAGTGTTTTCACCAGCATTCATTTGTAACTGATCGGGCAGTAGTTGCTGAGATTTAGTAAGAGATAACTCCTTGAGTACTTATGACAAATCGATCTCCCGAATGTCCCATTTATTTTCCTATGTGAGCTGATATCCAGAAATTTGAATCTTGCACCATCTTTGTGTTCCATTATGAAAGTGGTACTTTCGTTTACACTGTTGAACAACCCAAGCAGATGCGAAGTATGACTGAGATCATTGTATATAGTGAATTTGTCGCCAACGTATCTATAGTAGATGGTCCTTTTATCAACTGCACACTTTAGCTTTGTCTATTCAAGATAAGTCATTAACATACCTGCCAAGAGAGGACCTAATCAACTACTCATTACAACCCCATCAATTTGGCAGTGGATTTTGTTGTCTAACTAGACTTGTATATTTTTGGTAGACATTAAGAAAAGTCGCTTAAATTCAACAGTGGGTAAGAAGAAGAGATCAGTGTATTCACGGATGATGTCTAAGGTTCTATTAAAGGGAACCTTTATCAATAGAAAAGTCACATTGAATGAGACCATAACACGCATTAAGTTGACTCACCTTTCCAGCGAAAATGGAACGAATTCTTCAGAGTATGTTCAGCCAACCGTCACCGAAGTGGTTCCAAATTTTTGCCTAACCAACAAGCAACTTTATGGAATGGTGAAACCATCTTTGGTAGTATGGATCTCATTGAACAATTCTGTTTATGCATCTTTGATAGGTCATTCATATACAACAGACGAGACTCCTTATCCTTCAGTTGGTTGTATATGAGATTATCGATTACCTTCTGTTTCAAAAGCTCTCTAAGTGCTCTTGTAATCTTTTCTGTAGACTCTGTCATGCCTTTCTTGTGGTTATCACCCTTGAATTTCGATGGACTCTATTTTCTTGATTATATACTCAATCTTGTTCATCACTACTACTCCTGGATCTTCATCCGGCAGTAATATGTCAATCTTCTCAATGTTTATCAGTTTTTTTGCTATTTGTGTTCTCTAGACATTTTCTTGTGTT